TGCTTTTGAGAAGGAAAGTGAAACACGCTTTTGGCTCACAGTTAAATCACAGCATAATTGGAGGCTTATCTACTCAGCTCATCTGCTGGACACGTTTTTAGGGTTAAATTAAGCAAATGATCTTCTATGCATGATATTTTATCCATAATTAGTTACTTTGAACCCCTCTGGAACATAACCCGTCTCCTTTCCGTCTTTTCCATGGCAGGTAAACGGAAAGGATCCTCATCGTCTGTCGTAACGCACAACCGATGACTGAACGATGTCCCGCCTTTACCGAAGGGACTCTGTCCTACTGAATAGTCACACTTAGCCGTGTTACAATCACCGTCTTTTGCATCTAGAGCCAGAGTCTGTAACTGAAATAAACGGCTAAATTACCTCCTCAACACGTCATCAGGTTCTTCAGGATCCTGCCAGTGAGCCATTTGTTTTATCCACATGTGATAGAAGAGGGATGATCGAAAGCTGCATTCGCACCATTCCTGGTTAGTCTGCTTTAATTAAACTCTCATCCGTTTGCCTGGACAGTCAGCTTCATTTGGGAAGGTGAAAAACCCAAAAAAAGCAAACTCTGGTTCACCTACAAACCTTGGCCTTGGTTTGGTTGAAGTGGACTCTGATGTGATTCATCACATCAGATCTCTGAACGCCAAGCGGAACAGAGACCAAACTAATGAATCTCCGGATTTATCTCTGCTTTTTCTTCTGGAAGGTGAACCTCCACCTCAGTTTCTGGTCTGATTGTCCCCCCTGTCCTTGTGGAAGAACAGCGCCCCCACAGCATCATGCTGCAACCACCATGTTTCATGGGTGGGACAGAGTAAGCAGGACCATGATTATTGTCCCTTTTCCTCCACGCCTGACGGTTTGTTTGTGATTTCAGCCTCATCAGACCAGTTCACTTTCCTCCACGTTTGCTGTGTCCCCAGCATCATTTGTTGCAGACTTTAATGAGTCTTCAGAGCTTGGGCTGTTGTTCCAAACCTAACCATGCTGCTAATGTCGGCTGGGTTCCTTAGTCTCCTTGATGCTTGTTGTTCTCTAATGAATCTCTGAGACCAGAAACAGAAGAGGTGCATTTAGATTCAGATTAAATCAAACTAATTTTGACTTTATTTCCAAGTTAGGTGACTTTTGAAGGCATCAGTAATTCCACTAGCTGCTGTATGAAACTCTTCCACGCAATACAGGTTCGTCCTTCATGACTGAAGCTCCTTGTAAGGTAAGTTAAAGGTTTTGACATCTTATTTCACTCATTCTATCACCTCCATCTGCACACTCACCTACTGTCCTGCTCTCAGGCTGCATATCGTGGCTCGCTCTTATTCCGTCCTAATAAACTTTCCGCAGGGTTCGGCTGGGCGTTGGGCGATGAAGGCGCAATGAGGTCACAGCGTTCAAGACGGATGGCTGTAATCTGGTTTGTGGCCCCGCCATCTGCTGCAGTCAGCTGCTTGCTAACTGCAGGGCCGGCCTTTATTATACTATGTGCCGCTACACGACATTTAATCAGCAAGCTTAACATCTCAGGGCTGTGGAGGGAAAAAACCCTGACCCACACATACCTGCAGGCACAACTGCTGGGCTGAGGAAGATGAACAAGAATTTCCCCATTAGGGGGGAAGAAAGGCGCCGCTAACACTGGAATAAACAGGTGGAAATGTGAGAGAACGACCAGCTAAACGAAGGCTTTCATAAGAACGTCTCCCAGCTTTTTGGTGTGTTCTCCATGCGTGTTTGACAGCTTGTCACACAAGGAGGTTTGAAGTTCACATGAGGCGTCACTCATGACTTTTCCATGGCCTATTTAAAAGATAAATTTTGTGTCTTGCAGGCTGATTTATGTTTAAAAGCTGCCAACAACTGTATGTCTTCCAGACTTGTTAATAAATGCCTTGTGATTAGAGGATCAAATAGGAGAAGTGAATTAGAGATTCCTCTGATCACAGCCTGCAGCAGCGGATGCCGAGAGCCTCATACAGCATACGTAATCTCACTTAAGATGAGGAAATTGAGGAGCGAAAAAGACAAAACAAGCAATTTCTTGTTGCTGGATGTGATGTACAACATTTGTCCTTCATCTGATCTCGACTTTCAGTTGGTCTGCAACTCCTGATCCAGCCCTAAACAATCCTCTTAACTTTGCAGGCGTGTTGTTTAGAAGCCAGCTGAAAATTCCCATAGTTAGCTTTAATAGCTTCACTTCCCGATGACATTTGAAGACCAATAAAGGAAACAGATTTATTCCCGATCCACATTATCGCAGCTTCACATCCCATTAGGTCTAAACTCACTGTAATTTTGCGAGATGGGACGAACATGAATCGTTATGGGGGATTTACTGAAACATGTGTGGATCAGAGAGTTCTCCCAGAGCAACATCCAATCCTTTATTAATGCAAACTCATTTCATTTCTCATTTGGAAAAAAAAATCCTCAGCCCTGCTTCGCTATCTTTTTCTGACTTCACAGGTGATGGGAGCGCAAAGAGGCTCTCCATTTAAATTCCCCAGGAGGGATCATGATTTCTTCTTCTTCTTCTTTTTTTTCCCTTCTCCATAAAAAGTTAAGCCAGAAATATTTTGCTGATAAGGCATCAAACATATTTACTCCAGGCATGGCATGCCTGTGAGACCTGATCCAAATCTGAGAACTGATGGGTTACTAAATGAATTCCTTTATCTGCTTGAGAGTTTAAGTTTGAGCAATAACCTTTGAACAAAGACGGAGAATTAGCTGATGTCCCGAGGGTGGAAAGTAGGAGAGAAAAAACATCTATCAACAAACTGTCCTTGAAAACAAATAGAAGTTGTGAGTGCTTGTCCTGCGAAACACAAGTTGTCATCGCAGAGAAGAAACAGTTGTGGATGATATAGTCTGGTAATATCTGCAGCTTAAAATAACTCCATCTGTTGTCGCCCCAGACGTTCACCTGACTTCACCTGCTGAGGTCATGGGAAATGTGGCGAGCTAATTACACAGAGCCAACTGGTTCGGTTTGGTACCCTGACCTTTGACTGCTGGGCTAATGCTAGCATGAAGACATTCAAGCTCCTGCTGCAGAAAATACTAAATATACAAGGAATGGAGGAGGGGGGGCTCTGACCCTGGAAGACAACTGGGAAACTCTAATTACTTTAAGACACTGACATGCCAAGGCTGACATTTTCATACATCAACAGCTGAGAGTGGAGTCAAGTTATTTTCAATAGGTAACATATGATATGTTAGGCTGAAAAGTATTTCCATTATTTATATAGCTGACAATGGCTCTAAAATTGCCAACACTCCTGTTAAGAGTCCAGGTTTTGTGATATGAAAAAGAATACAATAAATCACCTTGAAACTTTTTCAATCTTCGGTTTCTTCTATTCAGCTCAACTATAAAAAAGAAAAATAAGTCTACAGGAAAAGAAGGAAAATGTTGCAATAATCTCTCACTGCATACGTGTGCATTGCCTTTAATACCTTGTTGGATTCAGAGCACTCAGTTTTCTTCAGTAGGAAACTCTCAGGATCCCACAACCTGACTGACACTGGATCACCAAAACTTTTCTCATCAAAAAAACTTCAGTGAATAAAATAATGCTTTTAAATAAAGTTCAGTGTTTTGAAGGTCATCATAATTTTATCTGACATGAATCTGAGCTCGTGTTGAGGTTCTAAATGAGACTCAATCATCTGACCTCATTAAATAAATATGTGAAAAGCTTCTGATGAGGAAATGTAAAGCAAAACATGATGCAGCCCCCACCGTGCTTCACTGTGGGTAAGGCAATCATTTGGTGATGTTTAGTATTGTTACTGTGCCAAACTGCTTGGAAATGTGGCTCAAATATTTCAGCTGAGCAGATATATTTGCAGTCAGCTGAAAGCCCATCTAACCCGACTCTACAGAATGCTGGGGAAAATTGCTGCTGCTCCTCCCTGATCATTTTTAGAGATTTTTGCAGGTTTTAGAACATTTTGTCATCCAATCCTTCTTTCAATTCTTGGAAACTGTCTTTATGATATAAAAGTGTGTTTATAAAAATGCTCTGGATTTTCTTTTTTACTCTACTCCTGAATGTACAGTGAAATTATTGAAACTTTTGTAACTTTCCTGCTAACTTCAGTTAAATAATTAAAACGGGAAATAACAGAAAACTTGCTCTAGGACAACTAACTTTTACTTCTAGTTATTTAGACTGAGTGTAGCTGATGGCAGGTTTGAAGTGAAGAAGTGGAGACAAAAAGACAATTAGATTAGATACATTTGTTTGCCCCAGTAGACAATAGAGAAAAACAGAAAAAGTCTTAAAGACTTGCACAACAAACTTGAATCAAGCCCAACTCTCAGGCTGTTTAAGATAAACTTTAGCTACATCATGCAAGAAAAACAACAACAAAAAAATACTAAAAGAAAAACCAGCTGCATCATTTCTTCTAGAAGACGTGTGTTTCAGACTGTTATGCTCAAGTATTTGTTGTTTAACAATGTATTCCCTTTCTGTTAGTTTTAGAGTTGAACATGCAGGGCCATCCTCCAGCCAGTGAACTGATCAGAACCGATTTGTTTCTGCTCTCCGTGCTCAGACCTGCTGCTGGCAGGGCGTGAGTTCAGCTGCAGGCTCACAGACAAAACTGAGGAATGAAACTGCTTACTGCTTCCTGTAACTTCTAACATCAGGTCAGCAGCTAAAATAACATCACCCATTTTAGCAGTCATTTACATGACAGATGATTATTCCATCAAAACCAAAACTTTTATTTTTATTTTAGAAAAGGAACACTTAATGCTTTAATGGTGGCCGTATTAAAAGCTTGTGATGAACCACATTTCATTTGTGCAGAATAATTTTGTTTTCTGCTAAAACTGGAATGAATATGAATTAAAACTGCTTTAATTATAATTAAGCTCCAGTAAAAATCAGAAGAGGAGAGAATTAAATATTTATGAATAAATTGAACAAGTCGAGGTAAAACAAAGTATGCAGAACAAAGCAGAGTTAACTTACCTTATCAGAGTACACAAAGAAGAGGATGAGGAGGATCAGCTCTGCCAGAAGAATTATCAGCAGTACGATGAAGAACTGTTGGACAAACAGAAAGTCTTTTTCAGCAGCTGCTCTGTAGAAATCAATTATTAAAGTCATGCTCTCACGTTTTACAAACACATGTTGTCAAACAGAAGATGAAAACAGATGGCGTCCTGCAGCTTGAGATAAAAATATATTCCAATAATAAAAAACACAAGAGTCTGAAATTCAATTTCTCACAGTAATTACAGACAGAAAATCGAGGTGAAAGGAAGCTAACCATAATAATGTCTGAAAGGTGTAATAATAGAATTTGTACATTCAATACATTTTCATACATTTTGCATAACTTTCTGCTTGTAGGAAGACATTAAAGCACATAAAGATGCACAAAAAAAGCAAAACTAATTATTAAAAATGAGCCATAGAAGCTCTGAGTAACTTAGTCAGAATAAGAAGAAATGCTTTTCCGTCACAGGAAACATAATAAAGTTTCAGGACTTATGAAGTATGCATGACTCAAAACATCCTCAGCTGCACATATTCAAAAGAAAAAGAGTTTATGACCTCAGAGAACAATCGTGGAAAAAGCCTCCAGCAACATCTGTTGTTAGGCAACATTCTGATCGATGCAAAAGTTTTAGCAACAAATTCCAAGAACTTAAAATACCAGGAAGTTTTAAATACAATAAAAACAGTGACATCAATCGGGACACATTGTGAAGAGGACCATTTTGTTTTTACAGTCCTGTTATTTTTTTTATATATAAACTAGGGCAGGTGGTTTATTAATCTCAGAATTTGAGATTGTTTGTTGCTTTTGCTAACTTTATTAAATTTAGTTCACATTCAGAAATACTCTTTATGGATAGAATACCAGAATTGAAGTATTTGGAGACCGACTCCTTGCCACCATGTTGCATCCCTCGCTGTGAGAGATCAGCTGCAGAAATCCCTCCCAGCGTGAAGAACATATAAAGAAAAACTGTCTAGAAATTGTAGCCCAATCCATCGTCATATTCTGCAGAACAATCTTAGTTTGTTTATAAAAAACAGTTTGAACAAACAGTCATGAATAAAATATTTCTTGGATGTAGGAAGTGCAGATATTTTTTTAAGGAGAGAAAAAGAGGTGGATTGAAACCAAATCTTGAAACATTTCACCAAAATGGGCGGAGCCAAGACACAATGGAGGGCGTGTCCAAGAGTGTGGACGAACTTTGTTGCTATATTTAGTGGAATTTCAGCTCCTCTATCAACTTAAAAAAAAAAAAAAAAACAACAAACAAACAATTAATGAGTTTTTTTCTGTCGTTGAAATCTGATGGCGATCTGCAACTCTGCTGTCATAAGCGCCTCCCACTGCCAGTCGTCCTCCCTGCAAACCGCCTGCAGTCACAGCAGACGCAAAACACCCTCTGTCCAAACATTCACACATTTGCAAAGCTGATAATGCATTCAATAAATGATCGTTACTTCAACTCCTGACTCACCACCAGGGGGCGTGTCTGCGTGAGATGGTTTTACTGAGTTGTTTTAACCAAGAGGAAAATTCAACTGTTTAAGCAACATTCAACTTCACAAATTTATTATGTCAAACATATTATATAAAAACATATCTCTGACTAACTAATTTAAACAGATTATCAGCAATTAAAAATTGTTGATTTGGGATTTTGTTGCACTTTAATATTAAACTCTTCTGAAGTCTTGCCTCTCAGTTGCTACCATGTGTCTTCCCTGATGCTTCAACTCAATATTTACAACCTTTTCTGCACAGCATGGGAGGAAGCAAGAAAACCTTGATCCCTAACAAACCTAATTAATTCAATGCTCATTGGGAAGGGGAGGGGTGAACCATTTCTTATTTCATGGCCCACATAAAACACTTTGAGCAGCCTTTTGTTGTTAGCATCTGCTTTGCAGGTTTTAGAACCAGTGCTGCTTTTCCAGTCAGCTACCGACTACAGCTGACTGCTTTCTACATTTTCATCTCTTTCAGGTATCTTTGTGTTTTCATGTCTACTTTTATTTTCTTAGTAAGCAGTTCCTGACATTCTAAAAAGGAAGAACCTCAAAAAATACTGCAGAGGATGTCGGAGCTTTGAACGCGCTGTAATCCAAAGGGAGATGTTGTCAAGGTAAACGCTCGGTTTTGTCTGCCCCCTGAGATCCAAACCTGCACTGATCTTTGAACAACATGACACCATCAGCCCCAATAACAACCTCCAAAACCCCCAGGTGCAAAAAAAAAAAAAATAATAATAATAATAATAAGAAGAAGAAAAGAAACAACCCTGACTCTCAGACAGCACTTCCATAAAAAACCTCAGCATGGCTTGATATGCAGAGCCATCCCTCAGTGATCTGGCAGTCGATGTTCCCTACCTGACATTTTGCCTAATAAGAAACATCAGGACTTTTAAATGTAATATTTTACATTAAACCATTTTATTATTCACAGCCTCCAACCTGCCTCCTCGCTGCCTGCACTTTGCTCTCCTCCACTTCACAGTTGTCATCCAGGTGAAGGAAGCCGTGTCTAGCACCGAGGATTTGGAAGGGCTTTGGACTGATGCAAGAGCTTCAAGGGATTGAGTCGTTTGTGATGTTAAGTAGTCGGAGGCCTATGTTTACCTCTCATTTAAACTTTCTAGACATGAAAGTTTTAGTTTTCTTTCCAAATCCACACAAACATCCTTCAACGGAACAAACTTCCATCATTAACTTGTGCTTCAGCTACAACACTTATAAAATCATAGCCAAACAGAGCAAAGCCAAGCCAAACTAAGTTTTATAATGAATAATAGAACATTTTAATTATTTAACTCATTAATATTAAGTGCTTTTCAGAGTGCTTTGCCCATATAGTACAATCATTTGCTGACATACTTCACAAAGCTTCCTTTTGAGGGAGAGTCGACTGACTGTACCGACTCCTTCAGCCATCATTATTCTGCTTTAGTTGTTTCTGCTTTTCCTGAACCTAAAACAGGTTTAATATGGACAACATGGCTCAGCGCCCAGGGTGCCATAGGATCAGGGGATGACACAAGCCCTATTTGTAGACAAATAAAAGCCATGTCAGTTTTTTTCTATAAAAAATGTCTATTAGTTATTGTTATTTCCATAAAAAAAATGAATCCAGAATTACTCATGCAAATCAAGTCTGGACTGAATAATCTAAAGTTTTTCTTACTCCTGGGAGTTCAGCCAATCAGCACCAAGGAAAATGAATGGCGCTCATGGATTGGCTGCTTATGACAGTAGCATATCAAGTAGCACTTTATCTGCATATTTCAGCTTCCCAAGCTGAATATTGTATTTATGTTGGACAGAAAAATATTCAAATAGTGAACTGTGAATAGATGGAGGTCCACAAAGTTTTCCTTTGGAGATGAGCTCCAACTTTTAGAGGTTTGAAAGCCTCTTTGCCATCACCCTCATCTTCATCTTGCTCCACAGACTATCAAATTCAAGTGTCACTACAAATCATTAATGATCCTCCTCGTCACAAGAAACATGTTATATTAAAATATTACTTTAAACGTGCAGTAAATCTGCTGCGGGTATGGATATTTTTGGGCTTGATGATATCTTGCACTGTGTTAAAAAGGCAGAAGAATCAGCTGCAGTTCAAAAGATGAAGTGCCAAGACAAATAAAGTCTGAACTGAATAATTTAATACAGAACAGAGTTTCTGCAAAGCTCAATTTGAGATTTATAAAACCTTTATTACTGTTGTGAAAGAGCATTTTCCTTTGGCTTAAGATGAGATGTGGAAGTGAAGCACAGTTCTTATGCTGGTGGGAATTATTCCACACTCATAAACAACTTTGATTTGTGAATCTTATTTAGCAAACCTAAAAATGGTGATTAATTTTTGAAGAAAAAATAGTTAATAGTTATTTCTTGCTCCATTCTTGGAAACCTAACACTGACCAGGCCGCAGGTGAAAGGGCTCGACATGCCGGACTCCAGGTTTTCTGAAGGACAGATGGATCGTTTGTCATTCACTGCCTTCCTCAGTCTGCTCACTTATGTGACTATGTGTGGTTATGTGTGATGTTTCTGGTGTGATCTTGTCTTTACTCTCTGCCATGTTCGGTGTGTCAGCCCATTTCTGCAGGATCCCGGCTGGCAGCCTCCAGTTTCTATAATAGATTATTTCCTTTTCTGCGCTCGCCCCTCAGGAACCTCGCCTTCATTTGAGTTTCCCGTTTTAAACCAGCACATGACATGAACTGTGACCAAAGGGAAGCAAACGACATGTAAGCGTGTTAATTTTCAGAAAGAGAGAATCCCGCAGCTCAGTTTCAAGATTTCATTCTTCCACCCAACTGAGAATGAAAACAGAGTAAACCTCCACTGGAATGTTTCTGCTTCTGTTGAGGTCTCTAAATTAATCACATTCTACACATCCACATTAACTTTTTTAAATAAAAGCATTAGTTCACAAACCAAGTGTAAAATTATGGCCACCTAGCTAATTAAGTTGCCCTGTACTTCATGTTTGCTCAGTGTTCTCTGGGATTTGGAGGTCAAATCAACACTTCAGTTCACTGTCGATCTCCTGAGCCAGTTTTGTTCTGTGGTAGGGATCGTTATCCTGCTATAATTGCCCCAAATCATCAGGAAAGTTACAGTCTGCACCGTCTTTACTGAGGGCAAAGTAAAAACCACATGGACCAGTTTGAAACTGATCGCTGCCGACTGGGAACTCATCACCAGACCTGCAGTTCTGGAGATCCACTGATCCAGGCATTTCAATTCATCCTTCATCAGTCTCAAATCCTGATTACTTCCCATTTTCAAACGACAAAATGTTCCATTGCTGCCTAACAAATCCCAGCTGCCAGCATGAGTTATGTTAAAGAGATAATGAATATATTTTACTTCACATGTCAGGATTCATAACGTTCTGACTGTTGCATCAATGCATTAAACTGATTGAACTTGTACAGATCTGTTTTTTCTCCATGTTCTGTAACAGACAACTTAAAGAGATCTGTCAAGCAAATTAAACTTGTCTGCAGGAAACAGATTATGTGTCTATAAAAACATTTGCACTGACAATGAATCGCTCCCATTAGATTGGCACAAGAACTAATCTTGTCAGAATGTCCAGCTGGGTTGTTTGGGATTCATTTAAAAGATTCATGTTTGTTTGTTTGGTGTTTTAACGTGACCCTGATAAAAAAACATTGAGTTCAGTTTAAACATTTAACTGTGAAGGTCCAAACCCTTTTGTACTTTTTTAATGAGGCGCCTTTATCTGTTGGTGATTTTCAACAGTAACTTCCACATTATTTGGAAAAAAATAACATTTGAATTCTGCAAATGGAGAAATAAAATAAGACATCCTGTGTATTTATATTGATACATTTCATAAATCCAGATTTTTCTCTTGTACATGAAAAAAAAACCCAAATGTTTCAAATTGATCCAGATTTTATAACTATATTTCCCCTGATAATCACCAATATTGTAACACAATATTCACAATCTCTAACTCAAACACATTTATTATTCATACCTACTTAAAACATGAATAAAACATAACTTCTTCAGTGGTTTACAAACTTCTCAACAGTTCTGATTTGCTTATTCAGCACAATTTTGAGGGGAAATCTTAAGAGAAACAAACACATTTATACTAAATCCAAGAGGTCTTGTTGACTGTAATGGTTATATGGCAGGAATTTTTGTAAAAAAAAAAAAAAAATCTATATAAATATTGAAGGAAAAAAAACAAGAAAATTTAAAGTTTGAATATGCAGAGATTGAACTTACGCTTAAAAGCAGGCACTTGTTCTCCTTAATGGCACCCAGGCAACCAAGAAAGCCCGTCACCATGACCATTGCGCCAACAGCAATGACCATGTTGGCAGCTGACAGAGACGGGAATGAAGGTGAGAAGGTGGCGAAGCTGCCCTGAGACACAGAGAGCCAGATGCCCACGCCAAGCAGCCCACAGCCACACAACTGCAAAGCAGAAGACAACAGATGTGAGGGTGAGAAACGGACAAGTTGGGGTCTTTTCAGGCACAACGTTAAAACATCTCCAGCTCTTCCCTGGATGCCCTGATTATCACTGAAGACCTCCTCAAGCAACTACGGTTACCTTTTATTGAAAAAAATAAAACAAAAACTAAACGTACAGCCCAACTGTTTCAGCTGCCAGGGACCCAAACAGTTTCGAAACAGCCAGAAAAACCAACTAGGATTATGTTAATTACAGCGGCGATAAGCCAATAACAGCTCTGGGAGAGATTAGGGCAAAAAAAAATTGGACTTGAGCCGCAGAGTTTTTGATTATGTGAGCAGATTACAATAAATCCAGAACAAACAGATATGTAATTAGTCCCAGACATCTTCCAGGCTTTCTGAAGCCACCTGCAGTGGATCTGAACTTTAACAAGAAGAGGCAGCTTCCTAATCTCACTCCAGCAGATTCCTGCTGATGTGTGTGGCATCGCAACATGGAGCGTTCAAGGAAGGCTTTGATTTGCGGATGTGTTGTTCTATTTTTTCAGAGATAATATCACACGACTTTGGAAAACATAGAGTGAGAAAAATGGGGGCAGTTGTGGGTGACATCCAACAAAAAGAGCAAACAAATACAGATTGTCATTATTTTTGTAGTTGGAAAATATAAGAATTGTATTCAATAAGCTCTAATTGATTTTCAGACACATGCGTGGCTGGGATCATGGAGTTTGAGGTTTGAAACAATTTCTGGACTGTTTGGTGCCATGACATCCTGAGGAAGTATCAACTTTGATTTAAAACAGGTTTGAACAGAATTATTGCAAGACCGATTAGCTCCAGCGCGGCTCTCCTTACCATCAGGCGATGATGTGTAAAAGTAACTTTGAGCTTTAACTGCAAGAGTCAGGAAATGGTGAGAGATGCCTGAAGTCTAATGAGTCCTACAGGATACATGCAAGAGCCACACATCCCCATCTCAAATGTCAGACGAGCTCAGTCTGACTGCTGCTGAACTTTGACCTTTGAGCTGTTCTGTTTGACTTCACACAGGCTGGTGTGAAGACAAAGACCTGGTGCGTGGAGAGCAGCGCTCCCAGGAAGATGATACGCATGCACTTTCAGAGAATAAGCAATGAATCAATTAAAAAGAAAAGAGGGAAAGAGCAGCGCAGACAAATGGATCAAGACCGATAAGAGCTCTGCTTGAGTCCGCTAAAATTAACCAGCTGAGTGGGTTGTCCTGTAAAACGCCTGTTCAGAATGTCTCCTGTCAAGGTTGAAGGAAACGCAGGCTGCAAAAGATCCTTGATTTTCAGACCTGAGGGAGCGACTCTAAACGGACAATAAGAGAGACTCAATTAAGTTTCCTCATCATAACAATGCAGAGTTTTTAAAAGCATCTTAAAAGTACAATTGTATCTATAAACAATCCAATTTTAATCAACATAATAAGCAATATTTTTAATTCAAAGGCCATTTTGCAGCTAAATTATAGAATGAACAGACATATGAGCTCAAAAAAGTTATTATTGTTTTCCATCAGTTATTCAGGATCTCCAACCATCAGATAGATAAAAAGTAAAAAGGAACTACAGCTGTAACAACCTCAGAGGTTTGCTAGAGAACAATTTAAAAAAACAGCATCATGCTGGGCTTGTGTTCAGCAGGAACAGGGAAGCTGCTTGGAGTTGATGGGAAAAGGGATGGAGATAAAACCAGGACAATCTGGGAGGAAAACCTGTTAGAAAACGTGAGAGGTTCAGTCAACAGAGAACAGGTGATTTATAGACACCACAGTTTCTGGCCTCCGTTTGAAAAACTAAAGGCTAAAAAACGCATGTTTACTTTACGTTTTTGCATTGGTCTGTCATAAAACATTCAGGCCCAACAATAAAATATGCAGCTGAAACATCTAGAAATGTAAAACCTTCCAACAGGGTAAAACATCCAAATGGGAGCAAAAACCAGAGAGAAGCAGACCGACGCTTTCTGTCCTTTAAATGCTGAATAATTCCAGTGAAGCTGAATTCATTGGGAGGAACATTAGCCTGTTAATGGCAAACTGATTAAAAACAAGAGGAGTCCAAAAGTCATTTGAAAACAGTGGAGAGAGGTCGTCCTTTTCGCTGAGCGTCAAATACACAGATTCACAGCCAGCGCCGTCCTGAAGGCCAGATAATATATAGTGTGAGAAGGGATTTAGGGAAGCAGGGGACTAATAGAAAGTTTAGGAGGCCACATAGATAAAGTGGATTTACAGCTAGTGAGGGGGGAAGCTGAGAGGTTTAAGAGTCCTGCTGGGGAGGAATACAGTACATTCTCTTAATTGTGTTTAATGCCCAGTGAAGGGAGCTTATCCGAGTGTGTCAGTCACGGCGGCGATGGTGAAACCGCCCAGCCCTCCTCAATCTGTCAGATCTGAGCCGACATGAACACGCCTAATCCCCACTTCTGCTGCTAGGAAAGGCCAACGTTTCTGTGCCACGGGACAAACCGCCTCTGATCACAGACCTGACACTTCTCTGATGGGTTCTGACCGGTGGCCTTCAGAACCCATCTGCATAAAAACATAAAAACAGGGACAAAGAATCTCACTTTGTTTACAACATGAACAGTTATGATTGTCTTTTCTGTCCAGATCTAATTAAACTGCATCTCAGTAAATCATATCATCAGTAAGTTCATTTATTTCAGTGATTAAATTCAAAAAGTGAAACATTTCTATAGACTCACTGTTTCTGTCACTCTGTGGCTCCCAAAGCTTTTCCCACACTTTGGGTATCACTGCCACAACTCATCTGCATTTATGACATTATTCTTGATTGAGAAATTAATAGAACTCCATTTATATGCGTCGTAGTGAACCTGTGAATCTACTCTTCAATGTTCCTTGCTATTCTTTCATTTTGTCCTTGTTTCTTGTGAAACCTTTTTCCATTATGTTTTTCCTTCCACTGAACTTTCCATTTATATTTTCGTCAGCTTCAGTAATCCTCCTGGTGGAAGTCTGGACTGTCGACACGTCCAGCGTCCATCATACTCTGACCATCATTATGTTCCTCCATTCGAAATCTGTTATTATTGGTTTCATCCATTATTCGCATTTTCTGCTAAGATGAATTTGTTTTTTTGTTTATTAAAATTAGCTCTTTGATCCAGGGATGCTTCCATCATTGGCACTAATCGCCGGTAATCACTGCACCCTTCAGAGGAAGCTCGTTTCAGCTGCTTTCATGATGGTTAAGTGAACTACAACGAAGCTGACGGTGAGATTTGAGGATAACCAACATTCTCTGAAGACATTTGCCTTCACTGAGCTGTACATGTGTTGCAGCTCTTTAAACTTATTCTCATTTCGCTCACTAATAAGTGCCGCTCTACCACTGCACCAGATTATGACCTCCAGATTATTTACTGTGTGGTTCTGGATAAGTCCTGTGAGCAGACGCACACAGCTGCCATTGATTATCCTCAAATCTCATCGTCATCTTCATTCATTCCAGCTTCGTTGTAGTTCACTTAACTATCATGTCATCATTAAGCAACCAAGTTTGACACATGACAGACCTCCAGGTCCACAACTCTTTCAAATTTAATCCACGTTATAGATGGATAAAGTCTCTCTGCAGCCTAGCTTTTCAAACGTCTGTCTTGGTTAGGAACTGGCAAACACTGTCAAAACTCATCAGCAGCTTTTGCCTTGATGCTCGGTTTTACGGCGCTCCCATGCATGCATGCAGCATGAGATGCTTTCCAACACCTCACACATCTCTCTCAAGGTTGCTTTCATATCTGAGACCTCAAGGTACAAATTGTACCGCTGTGATAAAAAATTAAGAACAATCTTTGCAGCAGAGAACACAAGCCTGACAGCACAAGACCGTTTCATTATATGTAATGTTTAATCTTTTCTTTGCAAAATAATGGGAGATTGAGATAATGTTTGACCTACGCATGTGGTGAGCGACATTTTTAGAGCACTTTCTTGGCAAAGAGAGAATGAAGTCAACTGTCTAATAGCACAAAAAGAAAAGTGAGATAACGGCGAGCAGATTGGAGTCAGCGTTAAGTTTTAGTTGGAGGAAACAGGAGAATAAGAGATGAGACTGTCTCTGTGAATGAGTGGGGGCGTTTTAATAAGCTCAGGGGGCAATAATTGCAAGAGTACAATAGGAAGCAACAGTGATGGAGCTTTCTACAGAGAAAAGTGATGGAGGAGAGGTCAGCGGTGAGATGTGGATGAGAGCAGAATATTAAAACCCAGAGCGAACAGAAAACACTGGAGATGAGTGTAAGAAGAGGAGTAAGCTCAGAGAGAAAGATGAAGAAGAAAATAGGTTGTGACCCCTCTTCCAAGTGGTTGGCTCAGATGATTATCAGTTGCTGCGGTAACTGACCGGGTGACATGGAACCAGCCACTTTCAAACCTCTTCAATCTCCTCCATATCAACCAGACGACAGGTGAGACACTGAACGACATTTTACACACTGATCACTCAGGGAGGTCATGACCTCTGGCACTGCTTCTGTCGCATCGGTCCGACTCCTGGAACTGGGATCGTCATGAGAGCTCAGTGACCCACAAGGATTCAGGTTCGGTTTACTTCAAATTTTGCTGTTAAAGCCTTTTTCTATCTGTAACCATCACTTTATTAGGCTCACATATCTGATTGCTCATGAACAAAATCAGTCAATCTAAAGGCAGAAACCGACATGCAGAACATCAAACTGAGCATCAGGATGGGAAGGAAACTGAACTGAAACTGAACACAACCATCTGTGAAGAAGTCAGAAAATATTCAGTGTCAACAGACCCAGCAGGAAATGTTTGATCTCTCCAGTAGGGGGCACACTTCCAGTAATGCACTAATAGCAGAGCTAATATTTCACTTTGCGTTTCTGCTAATTTTGAAAACATTTAATACACTTAACTTCACCTAAAAGCATTTTTCCAAATAAAGGCTCTCGGCTGTTTATTGAGCTTTCAGCTGAAA